AGTGTTTCTTCAAGTTTTAACCTCAAACGCTTTTGCCTTTTGTTGGTTTAACGTTTCCTTCCAGTTCGCGGCGGTCTGACCTTCGAATGACGGCACGTCACACGCCGCCAGTGCAGCTGAAAGCGACGTCCCGGACATCGTTCCGCTGACAACGTGCCAGCGGCGTCATGAAACAAGCATTGTGGCAATTGACAATCGGTCCGGACCCCGTCGCGCTCTCGAGTTCCTTCAGCAGCTCCACCAGCGGGCGGCGCGTTGTCTCATCTCCGGGCAGGCGCGGCGGCAGCAAACGCCCTACGAGGAGCCGTCTTCCCGCCGCTCGGCCTCGAAGGGGAAGCTGAGAGCCGGAGGGAAGCCCTGATTCCGGGGCTGCTCGTCCAGCAGCATCAGATCCTCCACGTCCTTCCCCTTGTACCTCCGCCTGCAGATCTTTACTGTCACTTTTCGGCCCTGGAAGACCTTCAGGGCCTCTTTGGAGGCCATGGCCCTGGCGGCGGCCTCGTCCCGCCCGTACCCCGTCCCCATGTACACCGTCCGACAGCGGATCTCGCACACGTGGCCCTCCTTCTGCGTGCGAGCGGCGGGGAGGCCGGCGATGTCCTTCAGCGGCACGAACACGCTGGTCAGGGTCTCTTTACACGACTCCACGCAGCTGCGAAGTATTTCAAAGTGGTCCAGGTTGGGGCCGAAGCCCCCCGCCGACACCAGCTTCCAGGCCACGGCCTTGTAGAGGCGGTTGAAGAAGGGCTGGTGCTCCGCCGGCGCCTGTGGCCGAGGGCCGGATTTCTGGCCGCGCTCGTTAGCTCCGCATCGGGATCTCTTCACAGCGCCGTCGCCGTCTGCAGAGAACGACACAACGGTGCACAGAGTCCCGTCTCAGTCAGACTCCGGCCTCACGTCAGAGTGTGGGAAGATGAAAAAAATGCAACAACAAGAGCACGAAGACACGCTGGTGGTCCGTAAAAAGCAACAAAGTTTGATCCCACGGTCATTAAAGCTGTTCAAGGTCATCTGAAATTATTGTGTGTTTCAACGAGCCGGAATAAAAATGACAAACCAGCGTTTCTTGTGAGTCAAAGGTGATAACACATCTACACAGGCTGTAAAGCTTCCTTTTTTTATTGAATTAAATCTTGAGACAGCCTTTCATTTGTTTCTTATGGACGATGGTCATAAAGCAAATTAAAAAAAGTGATGTGGTTCTTGGTTGAGTCGAAAGGTGCCTCTAATGTTTCATCCATCCACTTAATACATGAGAAATATTATGAGACATTTGGATGCAACCCACAACGCCTGCTGTAGTGTCATTCATCTCTTTATTTTACTCTGAAAAGCTGATATGATCAAATATCAACAGTAAATACAGTTGTGTGCGTTATTCTTCATAAACGTGTGTACTGCCTCACCAGCCGCGGCGCCCCGCTTTCCTCTGGACAGGATTCCATCCTTTGTGGTTTTGTGCATCGGGCCGTCCTTCACGACTATCCCCTCACCCATCTCAGAGATCTTGTCCATCACAGCCTGTGGGTAGCTGGAGGGGGGAGAGACAGCAGAGACGAGCTGACTCTGGGGGCGGCCGGCTTTCAAGCTCTGCCCCCGTTGGTAAGAGCCTTACCGGCGGGTCTTACCTGCAGCCGAGGAAGACGTGGTTGGCCCACACCATGGACAGCGAGAGCAGCTTGTCCAGGCTGCTGCTGGGGACTCCGGGCTCCATCGCGGGGAAAGCCTCCATGTTCCTGAGGAGGAACTCCCTCCGAGCAGCCCACTGCTTGTTGCTCTCGCAGTAGGTCCTGAACGTGTCGACCCATTGGGCCAGCCGGGGGTTCTGGTCCAGGTACTCCGAAACAACGTCTCCTTCGCTCGTCTCACACGCCATGCCTGGGACGACACACGCCGTGACGTAACAGCACAGAAAACACCAGACGAACGTCACGTGTTTGCGCGGCGCGCAGGGAGGAGCGGCTAGCTCCAAGCTAAGTCCGCCGTCAATCAAACTCAACAAGTCCCTATCGAGACTCGCCGGAGCCGCCGGTTATCGTTTAAACACCGCACACACTCGGTGCTTTGTTCCTCACGCCATTGCTAGTAACCTTAGCCCAATTAAGCTAATGGTGCCACTGTTAAACTGACTTTAGCAACTAACGTTGAGTTAAGTTAAACGGCTGCCGAGTAGTTACGGTAGCGTTACTAGAAGTCACTCGTATGATTACCACACACTCGAGCCGATCCACGGCGAGAGCAATGTGCTGTAACCGCGTAAATTAGGCAGTTGTGATCATTTTACTGGTAACTACGACATACCGAGTTCTCTCCGTTGCGAGGTGCTGCTAGCTAGCTACACGACCGAATGATGACGCAAGACTAGCGACGATAGATGTTTTTTTCTACAAGAACTACATTTCCCAGAAGCCTTTTGGTTACTTTTATTTAGATAGATATATACTTTATTAATCCTCATGGGGGAATTTGTGTGCAATAGCAGCAGTACAGTAAATTAAATGATACATTAAAAATATATACACAATACAGTAATATAAAATAGCAATATTCAATTAAATTAAAGTGATAGGGGTATGTACAGTGGGGTGGAATATGTATACAATTAAATTAATTTAAAAAAATAAATTACATTTACATGAAAAAACAACAGTAGACCCATTTGTATCCTCTTAGATGAAAGAAAACAGAATAATATTAGACGCATTTGTATTCTTTACATACAATTAACTTCGGAACGCCGGCAGCTAAATCCATGGTTACTGTTGGTTAGCAACCACTTCGCGCCCCACGATGCTTTGCGTCGTGACGTCGTTAATCTGCGACAGCGCGGGCGGTGGTTTGTTTTGGTGGCGGAACGAGATGCTCAAAACTCATAGCGGCGTTTCTAACGTTAACAATTACAGGTGAATTAAAATGATTCACGAGCTGCTGCTCGCGCTGAGTGGATACCCGGGGACCATCTTCACGTGGAACAAACGGACGGGTTTGCAGGTAAAAGTGAAACACCGAAACGTAGCTTACGTCTCTCAAACACCGGCTTGCTAACTTTAGTTAGCTGACACATTTTATTAGACTTTTAAAGACAGACATTAGTATTCTCGTTCGTCTCTGTTTGCTTCTCAGTCACGTATTGGTTATTCTGTTATTCTTAACCCCCACAGATGTAACATATGCACATTTAGAAATATGTGACGTGAATAATGTTAGAAACTTTCACGAATTAAGCTGGCCTAATGTGAAATGTAACGTTAGATGTATTCAGAGATTTACCGTCTACAGATCACGTGACATCCTCGGCCCTCTTATCGGAAAAGGAAAATCTCTGGCACGGTGTTTCTCTTTGAACATGAACCATTCCGCCCTCAGGTGTCCCAGGACCTGCCCTTCCTTCACCCCAGTGAGACCAGTGTCCTCAACCGCCTCTCTAAGTTGGGCTCAGATTACATTCGCTTCACAGAGTTCATTGAGCAACACACAGGCCACGTGCACCAACAGGTAAGAAAAGTCCTCCATGAGCGACGCAATGCCAAGTACAGTGTGAGTGCAGTCATGTTAAATGTACAATGTGGTGACTGTGGATTTTTTCTTCAATCGGAGAATTGGGGGTTTGATCCCCGGCCGCGCTGCTCCGCAGGTCGCCTGTGTAAAGTTGGTTAGTACCATGGCAAAGACAAGGGTTCTCTGTTATTAAGATTGTCTTTTTCTCCTCAGGAGCATCACACAAACCAGCCCAACCAGACGGGACTCTATGGGATTTACCTGCGTGCGTTCTGCACGGGGCTGGACTCCATCCTGCAGCCGTACAGACAGGCCCTTCTGGACCTCGAACGAGAGGTAGAACGATGTCACGTACAAGGAGAACAAAGCGCGCAGCAAGTGATATGATGCTCATTTAACTTGCGTGTGTTTCAGTTTCTTGGAGATCCACATCTGACGATCTCTCATGTGAATTATAAGCTTGATCAGGTAAAGCATTTATCAAACTCTTCTGAGATAATTCTTCAATTTCTCTTTTTGATGATATACAAAAAACACTCTCAGTGGAAAGTCTTTCTACAGTTAAACACACGTTTGTCTTACACTCTACCTTCTCCTTCAAGTTCCAGTTGCTGTTTCCCTCTGTGATGGTGGTGGTGGAGTCAATAAAATTGCAGAAGGTAAGGTTTGTTTGTAGTGGTGTTTCCCTAGGAAATGTAAGATCAGGGCGGCCATATTGCACAAGAGGAAAGCTTGGTAATTGGCGGGTAACAGACCTCTCGTGTGTCGCTGCTTTAGATCCATGGCTGTCAGATCCTGGAGATGGTGTACAAGCACAGCTGTGGGGGGCTTCCTCCTGTCCGCATGGCCTTAGAGAAGTAAGTCTTTCACTGGGGAAGAATGTAGATCCCGTACAGCAAGATTTCAACATGTTCGGGAATAACTTCGAGACTCCAAGTAATGCTGTTTCAGAAGAAGGAAGGAAAGGAATAGGATTTCCAATGATGATGACAATATTAATAATAATTATTATAATAAGTTTAAATGGTTCATAGGTTCATCCCTTCTTTGTTGAAGATGCTTTTACTTTGTAAAATCCTACAATTTGGCCTTTCATGGCTTTGAGACACTTTGTGTCTTTTGTATGCTTAGTTTAGCGTTTAGCTATAATTAATTATTGTATTCCCTTTACTGTTAGCCTTTTTCTCTGCTTCTATTATGTGGAAAAGCTGTGTAGCTCTTTTCAAACTGTTGTTGTTTTCGTCATCTTGGACTTGTCACGTCTCCCTTTGATACGAAAGGTCTCTGTCGCGTTGCTCCTCTTGTGCTGCAGGATTCTGGCCGTGTGTCACGGTGTGATGTACAAGCAGCTGGCGGCCTGGATGCTGCACGGCTTGCTGCTGGACCAAAGCGAGGAGTTCTTTGTGAAGCAGGGCCCCAGCGCGGGAGGAGCCGCCGCCAACCAGGAGGAGGAGGAGGAGGACCTGGGTCTGGGGGGCCTGAGTGGGAAGCAGCTCAGAGAACTGCAGGACCTGGTGAGAGCCGCGGCGCGGTGACGTCAGCGCGGGATGTGGTCAAAATAGTCAAAACAGTTCACAGATAAAAACACAATCTGAAGTCTGAATCTACATAAGAGTAAATATCAGGATCAGGAAACATTTATTGCCATAATATGTCAGACATACAAGGAATTTGACTTGGCGGTTGGTGCCTGACAGCAGACAGTACGGCAGTAGACGACAAGACAACAGTGCAAGAGGAATAAAATAAAATATAATGCTAAGGGTTACTAGTGTAAGGCTATGGGTTAGTTTACAATAAAAAAACACAAGTTAAAGTTAAAAAATATATAAAAATTAAAAAATAAAGTGCACTAGCGAACAGGAAGTGACAAAATTGTTGCTGCCAAATAAAAAAGGTTACATGATATTCAACCTTTATAATGCTTTTTAATACTTAATGGCTCAAATAGTCTGTGAAGAAGATCCACTGTACAGTTTACACATGACTGCATTCCGTCGTGTTCATTGTGGAGGTTGGTTTAAGGCGCCCTATGAGGTCTGAGTGACCCGTCTGCTCTCCGTCACAGAGGCTGATCGAGGAGGAGAACATGCTGGCTCCGTCCCTGCAGCAGTTCTCCCTGCGAGCCGAGATGCTTCCCTCTTACGTCCCCATCAGGGTCGCAGAGAAGATCCTCTTCGTCGGAGAGTCCGTCCAGATGTTTGAAAACCACAACCACAACCCGTCCAGAGCCGGTAGCTGGCGTGCGTGCGTGTGTGCGTGGTGAACTCTTCTGACGCCTGCTGTCACTACGAGGTCACGTCCTGTCGTTGTGCTTCTCTTAGGCTCCATTCTGAAGCACCAGGAGGACCTGTTCGCCACCGAGCTGCACCGCCTCAAACAGCAGCCTCTCTTCAGCCTGGTGGACTTTGAGAACTTGATTGATCGGATCAGGAGCACAGTGGCAGAGGTGAGCTCGTGCACTGCTGCGTTATAGTTTATATCGATGCCGATTCTCTTGGTGTGATGTATCATTACCAGAAGAATGAACTTTGTTTCATTAGTCATGAATGTAAACAAATAACCTTTTTATTTTTGAGCGGTGATACAATAAGATCCAAACTCATTAAAAAAGCTCGTAGCTAAATAACGAGCTCCTCGATTAGCTTTCATTAGCCCGTATCTCTTTATCTCTTTATCAAACTCTTTTTTTTCAGACATTTCTGCTACTTGCCTTTTTTAACTGTGAGGGTTTTATTACATTTGAGGAAGCGTATTTGCATCCACTGTAGTCAAATGGAGCCCCCCATCAGATCTTTTATTCTCTCGGCCTTGATGTGATTCTGCAACTTGGGGCCGGTTCTGGCTGTGAATCACCTGAATGACCTCCCACGTCGAAGGTGACTCCAATTAAAATGTCTCTTCTTGACTTCCAGCACCTCTGGACGCTGATGGTGGAGGAGTCAGATCTGCTGGAACAGCTCAAGGTTTGTATACGTGGTTTTTTTCCTTCTGGACCAGTTGGAAAAAGGGCCACGCGTTGACGTCTGCGTTTGCTTCCAGATCATTAAGGACTTCTACCTGCTGGGCCGAGGCGAGCTCTACCAGGTCTTCATCGACCTGGCGCAGCACATGTTGAAGGCGCCTCCGACGGCCGTCACTGAGCACGGTAAAGGTTTGAATATCTAACGAGGCCTGAGGTCATCTCACACAATGCATGTCCAACACTCACATCAGGTGGATTTAACTGATCCATTCCATCACACCGGGACTTTAAATGGCTTACAATAATGTCACTTTCTGTTTGGAGAATCGCCTTAAAGTTTGTGTACGTGTGCACAGATGTGAACGTGGCCTTCCAGCAGGCGGCTCACAAGGTGCTGCTGGACGACGACAGCCTGCTGCCGCTGCTGCACCTCACGGTGGACTACCAGGGCAAAGACAGCAAAGGTAACCGCTCGTCTCCATCGCGCCCGCTCGTCTCCTTCAGTGGGTTTTTGGCGCCATCTGGTGGTTTCATGATCAAATAGTTTTTATTTACCTGCTGATTAAAAAAACACCAAGTCTTCTAATTGGAAGCTAGAAAGATGATGAGGTAAAACCTTCAAATGAGCCCACTGAGGTCTCCTGTTTTCCTGCACTGATACTGTTCATCTCTGTTATGTTAAAAATGTATTTACTGATAAATCGATAGTGGAAATAATAATAAGCGCTTTGGGGTTTTTTCCAGAGGTGACCGGCCCCAGAGACGGAGCCACTCCTCCACAGGACGCCTCCCCTCGCGAGGCCCCGCCCACCGGCTGGGCGGCTCTCGGCCTCACCTACAAGGTGCAGTGGCCGCTGCACATCCTCTTCACTCCGGCCATCTTGGAGAAGTGAGCCCTCTTTTGGCT